GTTTTCAGGCAAAGTTAGTGTGCTGATCCACCATCCATGGACATTAGCACATTGCTGAGTACAACCTCCAAGCTTTGTGTGAGCACTGGCTCTTTGACTTGATAGATTTGCCATGCTGATGACAGATGTATTTTTACAGTGTCTGTACTAGTGCACTGCTAGAAATAACTGAGCTGAGAGGCTGATTAAAATACCACCTTCCTTGTGTGTACATCAACAGGTTTTCGAAACTGCAAAAGGGATTTCAGTTACAGTTGAGGGAGCATCTCAAGGAACAGATAGGTTTTAGTAATGTTAATTATTTCCAGTATGTGTTTGTAACTCTTGAAACTGAGTGAAACAACAATCCTTGTTCTCTGCTACATACCATATGGTGAGAAAAGATAGCTGACGTATTGGGACATAATGACAGAACAGAACCATCATGTGCATAGTAGGCAGATGTTCTTAAACACTGTTCTTCGGGGTAAACATTTTGTGTGATTGATTAAATTATATGAAATGAAGTTATATTGATTGTTAGCTTTTTTTTGTATGGATTTGCAGAATGGTTGCTTTGAAGTGTGTGGTATTTTTTCTGATTATTTTAATAAGTTGGCCATGGACTAATCTGAGCAGTAATTGTGACCAGAGATCTAAATAGCTGCCCTTGATTTTCTTCCATGTTCATGAATATAAGTTATATTTGGGATACTCTTTATAAAAATATTTGAGACATGTAATGTTTGAATTTCATTTACTGATTGATAGTTCTTTACTGTTGCAGTTTCAATTAATCAAGTGATTTTCTGCATCATGTTCCCTGGTGCACTTGGTGACTCCTTAGAAAACAAATACTGAAATATGTTTACTGTTCCTGATACTTCTTAGGACAGATTAGTTTCTATAGTCCTCCCCACAAACAGCTCAAGCCAAACAAATGTATAAGTTCTTACTAATACTATCTGTGAAACAAGGTGGCTTTGTTTTCTGGAGAGTGATGATAAACAAAAAGTTTGCAGTTTTGCACTGGACATCCCACAGTTTGTGGCAAGCTCTTTACTTCTGCTGGCCTTAGTTTCCATAAATTGGGAGTATCGATCCTTTTAGAGATCGTCATATAAAATTAAGTCTTCAGATCTACTGTTACAGTAAATATTTTAATGGCAGCCATTTCTGAGTGTCGTTTAAGTAAAACTTTGTATTTGGCCAGTAAATTCAAGATGATGTTTGAACATCACACCAAAGAACGTTCTCCTACTTATTAGACATAGCTGTGATGGCACCTTGTGTGCTTGGCTCTGAGCTTAAAGGCTCTGCTGAACAGTTTTAGCAGGGACACCCTCATTCATTGGGGTGTATTCAGAGTCAGTGCTATTATGAAGGTGTCTTATTTAGAAGGATTTGCAGGGATCAGCTGATGCACTGATCAGTGGTATGTGAAGGGGTTGTCAGTGACTCTGCAACATCAAATTCTGCATAACCTCACTTTGAAAGCAGCCTGGAATTTTAGACTTGGGCTTTACTGGTGTAGGTTTTATTCTGATGCACTTAATGCAGCAGTTCATGATTTCTGTCTTTACAAACCTATTGTAGGGAGTGAGGAGCAGGGTATACGTGTGTTTCTAGTGTCTGACTCATTTGATACCACCCCAGTGCATATAAATAGCACACAGAATTAATTATATAGCATCATCTAACCTCTGATATTTGAGAAGATCAGTGAAACTGTTGAAAGAGTGGAAAATATACCCTACTTTAAACCTTTCTGAAGTGTAACCTTTGGGAAGCAGGAAATCTTGGCAATGATATTGATATAATAATGTTTATAACTACTTTTAGAAACTAAATGTGTAACACTTCTCTGTGCCTTGAGTGTAAAGAGGGGTGTAAAAATGTCTTCATTATAGCCAAGGGAAGCTTTGATGATCAGTAGCTGCATCTTGGGAGGCAGGTTTGCCATCTGGAAGGTTTTCCTGGCTTTTACAACTTAACATCATTCAATGTATGTTATTCAGTGAGGTACTGGAAGCTTAGGGATTGTTTAATGCTGATCCTGTTCTGTCACATCTGCCTGTTCACTTGATCTGTGCCTTCCCGTACGTGCTGGGATGGCCATTCCCAGTCACGTGACTCTTGCGTGTTGGAGCAATAAAGAACAACTTGTGCATGTCTTGTTTTGGATTTTTTTAAATGATGTCTGTCAAACAGAAATAAAGTTAATATGCAAGTCATCTTTGAGAGACCTGAGAACTTTTTGTCTTCTTGGCAAGAGAAAAAGAGACAGTTAGGTATACTACGGTTTTTTTTCAAGATGTATTGTGTCTCATGAATTTTACACTAACTATAGAAATCAAAAATTCAGGTCTCTAGATAAATGTCAGTCGTGCATTTGAAAATGAGTTTCTGTGAGCACTGCCATTTCTTCCCTTAGCGAATATATTTTAGGATGCTTACCTTTGGATTGTGACAGATCCTTTCCTTGATTTTCAGGGAATATAGTAGACTGAATTACTATCTAGTTTCACTTTCTGCAGGCTGAAAATAAAGTTTCTGTTGAAACAAGTCTCTTCCAAAGAACTCCTTAAAAAGGTTAGACCAGATTGATGGATTTCCTTCTTTGCTACACCCTATGCTATAAGGCATTGTGGAAAATCATCATCATCATCTTAAGGAATGAATCTGAAACTTGGGGAAGCAGCAATCTACACTTCTCTTTGCCACAGGCTCTATATTCAGAGCAGTTGTCTAGAACAAGTTTTTTTTAGAAGTGGTCAAGAACTGCTACAGTTAGTAGAATTTGTTGATCTAATTTATGAAACTGTATCATAATCAACTTGCAAGTACTTTGGAGTCAGTAGCCTTCCTAGAAGCAGAAGGAGGTTGTCCTCTCCACTTTTTTTTGTCCTTATGCCTTCCTTCATCACAATGAACTTGGTTTTTTTAAATTAGAATCTTTATCTTCCAGTGAACCTCAAATAAAACGTTTAATGAAAAACCTAGCCCAGTATTTGGCAGCTGTACTTGGCAAAGAAAAGATGTGGGTGTTGTTTCTGAACATTTTATTTTGGTTCTTGTACTGTGTTGTATAAATGTATCCTTGCATGAGTGTGTGTGTGTGTGTGAGCTGGAAGCCTCTAGCTCTAGTATATTACATGGCTGATGCCAGGGGGAGGAGGGAATATAGTCCTCATTAAGGGAAACTATATTTTCAGTAAGTCAGAAAAATGAAACATAAGGAAACATAAGACTTCTTTTAAGGGTATGTTTTTTGTTTGTGTCTTTATTCAAAAAGAAGCTATTACGTTGCAGTAGTGACGCCTTAAGTTTTTGTTTATTAAAAGGCCTTCAAAGGATACACCTTGGGCAGTACAAGAGCCTGGCCATGGCTACAGCCAAGATATATGCCAGGTCATGACTTTTCACAGTTTTATGTTTTGGTCCCTTTGTATAACTGGGGCCAATTGTCTAATTACAGCTTCAGGTTATGAAGTCCCATCCTCCAGTTTGCTCTCCTCAATTCACTATTGTTTATATTTTTGGAGCCTGAAGCTGCAACGGTGTCCTTGGTTCTCAGACTGGAAAAGGATTGTTTTGTCTAACTAAACTGTGAAGAGAACTTGCTAATGCTTTATATGAAGTTCAGACTTATATACTGATGCAGTACAGAATCTGGAAAATATGAAAGCTAAAACTTAAGGCATCAGCAGCAATACATTAGTAAGTAGAAACTGATGTTTGATCTGCCAAGTGTACAAGCAAGCTTTGTGGTTATGAGACCAAGGATGTGTGCAACTGCCAGTACTTATGCATCTACATGGTGTTTTGCATGCAAAATTAATATAGGAAGAGTAATACTGGCGAAATATGAGCTTTGTGCTTGTAAGTAACTTTATTATATATCACATCATGAAAATGCATCCCATTACCATCACCTGAAACAGGGAGCTATGAAATGCATTGCCTGAAGTTTTACAACTGCCTCAGTTATTAACTACTGCTTAATGAAATACCAGTGTTAGCAGATTGGGATTGATGCTATTGGCATGTTAAATTTAACAGTGAAATCTTTAAAAGATCTGAATGGCTTCGAATGTAAAACAAAGTAATGGATGAAGTGTTTGGTGCCTTGGCTTGGATCCAGCTTGATGTCCTAAATGAATGCATCATGAAACCACAACAGATCAACCCAGATTTCCATGAGTGATGCAGAAGAGCCCTGAAGCTAAGCTAACATAGTGATTGAATTAGCTCCTGCATTTAGAGAGGCTTCTCCCTCCAGGTCAGACTTCTAAGCACTGATGGGCTTGTGTGGGGAACTCGCAGTTACAGACTGAAGTATGCCTACATTTGGGAGGAAAAGAAATCTTAGAGCTTCAGAACTTTTACCTTTGACAAGTGTGACTGATTTTTCTTTTAGGGGGGAAAGAGGGAAACACTGTGAACGTTTCCATTAGAGGTGCTTTGGTCAAGGGCCTGCCAATCTTCCCACAAATATCTGTTCAAAATTTGAAACATTTTGTCGCCATGGGGTTGATAAGTACCTTATGTATTGCTCACCTTCATACAGTACGTGGCTTTTTCTTTTAGTAAATAATAACTGTACTGTAGTGTGATGCTCATAAGTGGGACTATTTGGGAAATATCTGTGTGTACTGGTGCAAAATGTGATCTCTATTTGTAGTAAACTGATTTTATAGGTAAATAAATTTATGATTAAAGACAAGACATGGTAGTTGACCAGAAGCATTACTCTTTTTGAGTAATAATGTTTTTAGTGAAGTTTTGTTTTTACAAGATGCAGGGAAATAGTTATTAAAGAACAATACCGGGAAAAGAAGTGTCTTTATTCTAGAGATTTGTATCATGACGAAGATGTTTCAAACATTTAAAAACTGTGTTCTACAATTCATGTTTTTAACTGGTACCCTCACATAAGATTGTTAATTTCCAGCAGCTATTTTATTGATGTTAGTGCTATATGCTATATATAACCAGATATCTCCATTTTTGTTTCTCAGCATGATGTATCACAGACTTTGCTCAAAGCAACTCTGGATAGCGTGGTTGAAGAGTGTGTCAGCTTTGTAGGAGTTGATATTAACATCTGCTCAGAAATACTATTAAGGTGAGTGAAACATTTTCCTATTCCAGTAATTACATGGCTCTGGATCACAGAGTCTCTGTTTAGTCTGCCATCTGACTCAAGCTCAGCTGGAGCAAATGGTTCTTGTGTTAAACTTCCAATTACATAAAAATGACACAGTAAGACAGTATTTCACTGAATCATTAAGAGTCGGGTTTAAGGATATGTGTGATTCTCCAGGGTAAAACTATTCTTCAGAAAAAAACCAGATATTTAAAAAATTTGAGCCAACACTGCAATTTTAGAAAAACGTGATATAAGTAATACGTATTTTTACACGGAGAAAGGTATTTTCAAATGTACTTTGTCTCTTAGAAGGTATTTTTATAGGTACGTCTAAGTGAAACAGGTTGTAAAACTTTGGTAAGGAAAGGAGAAAAGGAAAGATTTAAGGGCAAACTTGAAAAATGTATCCCCTTTTTTACCGTTTTTTTTTTTTGTTAAATAGTTATGCAATGTTTACTTAAAGAATGTTCTGGACTTTATTTTTCATGAAAAAGGTTAGAAACTGAAAGCTCATTTTCTCTTGGGTGTGTAGAATTCAGTATTGTTCAGGCGACAGACTCTCAGAAGAGCAAAAGTACTGCTGTCATCCTCCATAGTGGGAGGGGAAGGAAAAGAATGTCCATAATCCTTTGTCCATATTCTTCCATAATATTGCTGTCCATAATCAGTAATGACACTTACATTTGGTATGAAAGTTAAGAAAAATGCATTCTTGCTAGCTCTATGTTGTAATTTTTTAGCCCCTTAGAATCTTAAAAACATCTTTCCATATTTTGGAAGAAGCTCTCTTTCTATTCTTTTTGGTTTCCCACTTTCATGTTCTTTCTCTGCACATCCAATCCCTAGCCAACATCTGGTTTCTTCTGTCTGATTTAGATAAGTTTTTAGGAAGAAAGAAATGCAAGGCAAAGTACCTAAATGACAAATGAAGCTTTCATTCATAGAATCAACAGAATAGAATCCTAGAAACGGCTACATTGTCCAATTTCAGCAGGAAGCATCAGCCTGAGATGCTACTGTGCCTCCACAAAATTGAATGTGGGATAACCCTGTCCAGACAGGGCTATAGGTGGTAACCACGTTGTGTATTTTGTGTGGTCTAATTAACTTGGCTTACAATTGTTTAAGTCTGCTGATGCATTAAGTTTCCTTCAAACATCCAGTGTATGAGATTGTCACCCTAGCTACATTGCAGCCTGAGCAGAGCTTTCTGTTTGTGGTTTCTGATGTATCAAATACGCTTCTTGAGGCATAGTACACAGGGAGGGGATGACAGTGCTAGAGTGTTTGTATTACTGCTGAGTATTGTGCTTGAAAGACTTGAGATCATCAGTGGAAAATTCTGTCAACTGTGTAATGTTCATTTGTCAGTGTAAATTAGCTGTATTTCTCAATGTTTCTAAGAAATTTCTGAAGAAAATTCCATTCCTAATGTTTAATATTCTGTCTCTGGTTAAAGGTGTGTCTCTCTAATTTCATTCTGAGCTTTCACCTTTGGACTATTTTTTAAACTTTTGCTTGAGAATGAGAATAATGGAAAGATTTTTTACATTTTTCCCTGAGATTTTATGACTCTTTCTGGGTTTGCTGGTGGTGTTTTTCTAGAATCAGTTCATGCTATTCCACTAACAGGTCACTCACTGCTGCTGCTGACTTAAAGCAATGTCATCTGATATATAGAGCCTAGTGGGTGACATTTCCTTCACTAGTGCCATGAGTAACTCCCCACGAGAGCTCTTTTCTCTCTTTTTGTGATTAACATACTCCACACACAGAAAGTTTTACTCCACGTACAGAAAATGTGCAGCAAATCCAGTGCTTTGTGAAGGAACCTGGCTAGCCACTGTTGCACTTCACAGGTAAGTTCTTGGCCAGGTCCAAGTTACCCTCAGAACAAGTCATGCAGCCTGTTTACAGCTGCTTTTTATTTCAAGAAGAGCTCAGAGAAAAGAAACAAGTGTTGTGGATCAGTTAAATTGTTTGAGGAAGGCAAGCTGCTCCCAGCCACTCTCCTTCTGGGTAGCAGACATGAGCCCTTCATGTTGGGCAAGGTGTTTCAGTGCCATTGGAAGAGCTGAGAGGAGGCTGTTCTTACAGGAACAATTTATCTGTTCTGAACCCTCCTCCCACACTGTTTCCTGAAGAGGGCAGCTGGGGGGCAGGCCGTAAGACATGACAAATTGAATTGGCATTACGGAAATAGCCAGCAGATCATAAATTACATGTCCCTGGCTTACTAGTTAGGCATGTACAGAAGCAGATTGCTGTTCAAAGTTTTCTTGACTTTAGTGGATTCCTTCCACAGAACTAAGACAAAGGAGCCTTTTTCAGACAATGTCTTTGGTCTGGGAGTCTATTTGCTAATTTCTTAAAGTTTTGTAAACAACTTTTTCTATAGGAATGTGTATCCTTGTAATGGGTAGCACTTGCAATAATGACTGCTCAATGGTAATAAAAGTATTTTGCAAATTTTCTCTTAGACACATTGCAGGACTGAATACTAACAGAGCTAAAAATATAATTGAATGGCGAGAGAAGAACGGACCATTTATAAACCGAGAACAGCTCAAAGAAGTGAAAGGTTTGGGTCCCAAAACCTTCCAACAATGTGCTGGCTTCATCAGATTCAATCAAGAATATATCAAGACTTTTTGCAGGTAATAGAGATTTTAACTGTTCTTACTAAATTATCTGAAATAAAATGAGAAGACTTTCCCTTTTTCTACTTTGTATTCATGCTTGAGACTCCAGGAATCCTAGACCATTGTGCTCTGAAAGACAACAAACTAACTTGTTAAAGTCCATGGTTGAAGATAGTTCTTCCTCTGAATAGTCATGGCTTGTTAGCCTAGTCCTCAAAGTCAGGGTTTTGATAAATATGAAAGTTTAATTTAAATTTTTGCCACTGAATTGGTAAAAAAAATTGTCATGCAGCAGTGTTGTGATCTGAGATATTAAAACTTTAGTCTTGTTTTTCAGGCATAATAGAGATCTGTGAATTAAGTAATTTAATATGGTAAAGGTTATTATGCAGAACCTAATGATAGGAAACTAGTGCAGATTTTTGGAATTTCAATTTCATTACCTGGAGAGTGGAAGTTGAAAAGCTGCCTAGATCAAACTGTGTCTGTGTTACACTGTGCCTAGCAAGTGTGGTGTGACTGTCTTCTGTCTGAAATATGGGAGGCCTTTTCCCAAGTCCAGTTTGTCAACAGTGCGTCATCCCCTTCCCTGTCATCTCATTCCCTGATTCTGTACCAAGTCTTCTACTCTTTCAGCCATTCATAGTGCTCCTCTTGACCTTTCCACAGCTGAAAATGCCCTTTCTAGCACAATGTCTCTTCTGACTTTTCTCATTTCTCTTTCCAAAATAAAGAACTAAGAAAGGGCATGGTGGTAGCACCATCCCCACACTTTTGCTACTGGCTCTTGTAAAAAAAAAAAAATATTTTCCTGGGAAGCACATGCTATTTTTTAGCCAACACAGTGCTCAGAAGCAATATTGTTTTCCCAGTTGCTGCTGGCCGAGCAGCACACGCGTAACTTCCAGGCAGGACGTGGGCACACAGGGACTGGCTTGCTGCCCAGGTGGAAGGTATACAGATTGGTTGCCCATCTGGCACAGAGGCACAGGCTGCAGGCCAAATGGTGCTCGCTGTAAGCACCACAAGACCAAAGAAATTCCTTCCAAAGCTCTCGATGATTGATAGGTCTTACCTTGTACAGATCTGTTGTAGTTTCTCTAGTTTATGCTGCAATACAACCCATGAAAAAAAGGCTGATGGCTTTTTCTTCCCCTGCAAATGTTCACTGGTGAAATGTGAACGTTGTTTTTGGGGTTTTTTAACCTTCCTGGAGCATGATTCTGATGTTAGTCAGATTCCATAAAACTTGGGAATACTGTATAACCTGAGAAATGGATTTTGAGGCCAAAGTAAAGCTCTAACACCATTGCCTCCACAGCACTTCTTGTGGGTCCAGGTGACATAACCAGAGGCTTTTGAAATGAACTTTGAGGTCTCATTTTTATCCTTTCTAATAATTTTGATAACTTTAGGTTGCTGTGTGAAAGAATTGTTGTGCTTTTTACTGGAAAATTAACAAATGGCGGTTATTTTAAAAATCGAGGAAAGAGGAAAATATGTTTGAATTTCTGCCAACAGTTGATGAGTGGAACCCAAAATGCCAGTGCTAGTGTCAGGTCCCTCAGTGCGTTCTCTTTTGTCCTCCAAAAGCAGGAACCACTTGTGATTTAGGAAAAAAAACAAACCAAAGAGGTATGAAAGGAGCATTTACAGTAGGAGTCATTTGATGCCTTTCATGTGTCCTGATAAATTATTTTGTTTGAGGGAAACTTAAGGGGGAAAAAATGAATTGGTTTTGTGTGTGAACACCGGTCCAGGATCATCTTCATTGAGAATGACATGTCCATTTTTGATTTCTGGCAGTAAAAATGACCTTGGAAGTCGTGCACTTTTGACTAAAGCAGGTGCACTGGGTAAAAAGAAGAGTAAGCTGACATCATGTGCCTCACAGCAGCCCAATCCTTTGGACCAAACTTGTATTCATCCAGAGTCTTACAACATAGCAATGAGGTAAGTGATGGGAAAGTTTTTGAACCACTGACACCATCAATTTTTAAAATGAAAGTACTGATTTTTCTGACAACAGCTTGCTCAGCCTTTTGAAACAGGAATATTTATATTGTTTTGAAGCTGTTACCCCTTTCTTTAAGAAGAAGGTATGCTTGGGATATATGTGAGCATGTCATTACTATGGGCCTTTAAAATTAAATTTGGATACTGCAAGATCTAATTAAGATGTATATATAAGTTCCCAAATACACAAATAGTGTGATTGTTTTACTAAGTGACTGAAAAAAGAGAATGGTTTTTATGTATGTCAGAAAAAACTAATTAGAAATCCCTGTGTGCCTCTGAAATACTACTGTAAGCTGTGATCTTTTCTATCAGCAGCCCTGGTTGAAATTGGACTCTCCTTTTCCTCTTCAGAAAACATTATCTCCTACCATAAATGGGCACATATTTATTTTTGAACTGATTTTTACTGAACAGATTCTTTTCTTAAAAAGTACTGGAGCTGATTTCACCTGTAGCCAGTTGCTTTAAGATTCTTATGATCTCTATTGAGAATTTTATGGCTGGACAAACAAATTTGTTCTTTCTATTTTATAAACAAAACCATCTTTAAACCTCAAAGAGAGATGCAGAATTTCTGACTTTACAAAGCTTGACTTTCTTACCTAAAAAAGTGTTACAGGACCTTGCACTTCTAGGACACCTTCCCTTCAGTGTGTACTCTGTTCTCTCTTCCTATGCATAGGTCTCCATGCTTTCCTTCTGCTAGGCATGCAGTGCATTTTTGTTTCCATCCTCTCCCTGCCACAGTTCATTCTTCTTTGTGCCTGATTCTAGGACCCATTGTGCAATTTCCTGGTAGAGTCTATTGCAGTTGTGTAGTGTGTAGATAACTTTGGTTTTTCTTTTTCCATGACCAATTTCCTTTTTTTCTTCCACATCAACATTTGTTGCAAAGTCCCTGCTGTGTGTAGCTGTGGGGAAAAAGCCATCAGTTTAGGTCCTGATCATAATGATATTACGTTTGGTAGGTGATTTATAGGGTGTGCATTTTGGTTACCTTAACTGGAGATTGTTTCATGTAGGTGAGTCAATACGAAAAAGCAAAAATAAATTGGTTATTCTAAAATAATTTTGAATTTCAATATTGAATTCCAGTCAAATTTCAAGTACATGGATTTCATGCCCTGGTACACTAATGTCATTAGTAAAGTGGTAACAGTGCTACCAGCCTTGCTTAAAGCCTGATGTGGATGAATTGCTTTAGAGAGCAAAGAAGAATATGCAGTTAGTGGTGGAATATTACAGTAATTTCCCTACATACAATATTTGCACAAAGGTTGGTCAGAAAATAAAGAATCGTAACTTTGTTTCAAAAACAGCACGAGTGACTTTTATATCTGAAATGGTGAGTGGGATTATTACTGCATAGGGTAGAACAGATATTCACATACAGCTGAAATTGTATAATTTTAGTAGGTATCACAGATCATATAACTGTGATTTGAAATTTGACTGGGAACCCACCACTAGCACTATTTAACAAAAAATAGAATAAAAAAATTAATGAGCACGATTTTTACATCTCAGCCAAGACATTGGTTTGAGCCCCAGGCTTATGCATGTTTCACCTAATGGACCTCCAGCACTGCTTAGAAGGTGCCTTGCTGAGTCTTAAAATGTGCACAGCTTCACACTCAGATTTCAATTGCTTCTAAGCCCATGCAGAAGTGAATCTACCTCATTGTCTCTCTTTGGATAATGCAAGTATTTTACAGCAGATTTCCAGCAGTGCCGTTTTCTGTTCTCTGTTTCTCACCAAACACTTGGCTGTCCTAGACAGAATTTTCACATGAAGTATTTAGGTCTAAGTGTATGTCATGCATATAGTACCATGCAGGACTTTGTTGTGGAGTGTTTTTGTTGTTTTGATTTTTTTTTTTCCTAAATGCAGAAGAATCTAAGTTGATTACAAAGCAAATTTATTACAACAATTACAATATCTGCTAATGAAGCACCAAAACTAATTAGCATAGCATCTCTCTCTGTAACTAACTGTATCAGTCTTTTCTGCATCCTTTTAGCTTTCTCTGTTGTCTTACTTTTTACATTTATAATATCTCTACACATATTATGACAGGGGGTACAAAAGTCTCCGAGTGCTTCCTGTGAATGTACTTTATGGACAACAGTATGTGTATTTTTCTTTAAAGTGTGTTCAATATGAAGGTGATGACTTTCATGGTATAGATTGTATGACTCTGCAGCAACTCGATATCACAAAATGGTGTGGGGGAGGGGGCAAATATATTTTATATTTTTTTCATGGCAAATATCTGTTTTGAGAAAAGAAAATACAGCTCTGCAGCAAACTGACAAAAGCCAAGATGTGTAGTATTAAAAATTGACGCTGATGACATAAGGGCTAAATATAAACCAGACATCCTCCCCTCAAGCAACTAATGCTATAATTTAGCAATGATTATATATTTAAAATGTCCTTTCAGAAAAAGCATATGAGCTAAGTTTCTCAGAACTTAAGAAAACAGCTTTCCAAACCTTTTTCCCTGCCTGAGTATGAATTAAGAAAAAAATTTACTAGGAATTCCAACTGCATGGAAAATTCAGTCCAAAGCTTATCAGGGCTGTTGGTGAGTTTTGCTGACAGGCAGTGGATGGGACTGGGCTTGTAATTCCCTTTTGCTGAGCCTACATTCATGAGAAAGCATTTGAGAGCCTGAAGATCAAATCATGTTCATGGTGTTGGTTGGAGGTATCTTATGGAAGTTAGCCAATATCTGAAAGTCTTTCTACAATGCTAGAATTAAACTAGGTTAAAACCTAACTGATAATTCTTAGAACTTAAAGTAAAATGCATGAGAAAAATTGAAACTGTTAGATGTAGGTTAGAATCGGTATTTAGTAATAAAGTTTTTAAAATAATATGTCTTAATGAGTTCTGTGGCTCTAGTGCTATCAGAGTATTTCTTCTGTTCTTACACTGAACTTTGTCAGGGAGTGTGTCAAGTTCACAGGTGGATCTGTGCTGCCAAAGAGCAGAATTGTCTTGAATATGACCAGATTTGGTCCAAAATCCAGTATTACATACCTCTAACCATGAAAATTAAAATGTATGGAATGGCTGCTACATAAGTGAATCATAAAGGCTTCCTCATGCAATGCCTACCACATCTTGCTATGAGAAAGTAGTTTCTGAAAGTTTTATTGGATTAAAAGTTTTCATGGAAAATTACATTTATTTTTAAATGAAATAAGATGGTGATTTTTATCCACTGCTTATAGCCAAATTACTCAAAGGCAGCAGTCTACATTGCTGATTTATGACATGCAAAATTATCAGGTTTTAAAACAATGTTTTTGAGGGATAGAAATTTACCAAAATTTGAAACCACTAATTTTCTTTTTCAGGACTATTTTGTAGCTTGAAAAGCCAATCCATTAAAGAAAAATATGGTTAAAATAATTACTCCCAAGTGGTGACTTTGGTTGCCAAACTTCAGGCTGGAGCCAATTTTTAGGGCTGATTTAGAAAAATAGGGTTTTTATAATGGAAACACTGATGTAATCTTTACTACAGTGGCACAAATGGTGCTGGTATGATTGATTTATGGCATTTGAGCATCTTAACTTAAAATCTGTACAATTTCTGTAAAATAATTGGAAAATATCCTACTAGTGATTTAACACGCTCTGCAGAAGACCAGAGCATTTTTGTTCATGGTTTCCACACTGTCAGAGCTTGGCTTTGTCATGTGCAGTGATCAAGCTTACAAACACCTCTAAATATTATGAATCGGAATTTCCGAAAAGCTAAATAAAAACCTCAAAACTTTATAGACAGCCTATTTTCCTGCAAAGCAGAACCATGCTTTAAGTTTTTGAAAAGTCTGCATGTGAACACCAGTTTATAGTGGCAGAATCTTCTACATACAATTAATACAATATGTAGAGCATATCCAATTTCTTGGTATGTATTGTTAAAGAATCGGTAGGAAAACCGAGGAAACATTTAGGAAGTCCCCAGAAGTTACAACCGGGTTATGCTTATAAACCAAAATGTTGGAAAGAAAACGCAATGTTTTTTCTTTGTTCTATCAGTCTGCTGGGTGCAGTTGGTTTCATGTGACTGAATTTTAACATTTGCTGACTTTTTTATTTAAATCTCATTAAAATGCTTTTTGCAAAAGGTTGGCACTCAGAATGTGCATTTGCTGCTCACAGATTGCAGCATCTGGCAGACAGGTTGTATTTTAGCCTGACCTAGAAGTACAAATTTTTTGCCAATGTAAGAGATCTAAAGCTGTAACTTAGAATAATAGAGGTGGGGATCTTCCTTGGCTGATTACCTGGGTTTAAGACCTTGCCTGGTAGAAGCCAGTCCTGCTCACTGTGGTTGGTTATGTTTTAAGAGAAATTTTTGACATACTGGGCAGAGTCACCTGCTGTGAAGATTGAAGTCTTGCCATTCTCTGTGTATTGATAATGCTGCTTGATATCTTCAGCAGGAATTCAAAGTCCCAAGAGAATTCAGCAAGCACTTCTTCATGGGCTTTTGCTTCACTAAAATGAAACACTTCGATTTGGTACTCATTTCATCAAGACATTTGTGTTGATCACAGTTTATATTCCATTATAGGCCAATCAGTCATATTTCAAATATCCCTGATGGTTCTTGTACTCTGCATGGGTGGATGTAGCAGCTGATCCATATTATCTCATTTGCTGTTTTGATAAGCTGCATTTGCTGGCTTTGAAGGCAAGTACTGGCACATAAGAAATGCAGAAGAAAAACTGTTGATGAGGCCACCAAAAGAAGGACTTTTGTCTCCTGCCCTTTATGCAACTGGAAGCTTGTCCTTTGATCTCATTTTCAGCTCTCTGGCAGGCTGATTTGCCTCTGTCCACATCCCCTAGTTGTCGCCAAACAACTGAGGCAATGCTTAAGGGGAGTAGAAATCAAGGAGGGAATTCTTACT